AAAGGCATCTTCAGTGAAATGGGCCAGTAATTGTGGCATTTCATAACTCCATCCTCCACATCTCTGGTTATCATGGCAATAACATTAGAATTATTTTCCAAAACCATTTGCCAGAAGTCATTTGTAGTGTGTGGCAGTGGTCCTTGGGTAGCAATATAAAAATTCTCTTCTCCATGATTGACTATTCTAATATAACTAGCATTTATGTAGTCCATGCTTTTTCCAAGAGGAACACGTGTTGAATCATCTATTACAAAAAGAGAAACATTTGGTAAATAAAGGAAAAGTCGGAGACGCAATACACCCAGACTTCATGAAAGCATTTCACACATGTATCTCTTCAACCAACAGAGAAGATGGCCTAGAAGATTCTTCTCAAAAGGGTTGAGTTCATAAGTTTTCTTTACCCCATAAAACACACTGGCATGACCTAAGAAACATACAATTAGTGGAGTTTTATTTTTTAAAGTTTTAATATACAAAGAAGAATGTCTACAGCATTTAGACACTTTGAAAAACTCCTCTTAGATATAGTAAAGATAGGATCAGACCAAAGAAAATATATACTAGCTTGCAATTGAACACAGCAAAGGAGGAGCCCTCTGAAGCAGTAAATGAATGACATTCTCCTACAAATCTGGGAAGCCTGAAAACCTAGAGCAGCAGGAGCCAGAAAATATGACAGGTGACTTAAGATAATCACAGGATTAATGGAATTCCACTGTGCCCTCTGCTAAAGGCAGCCAGCTTTTATATTCACCCTCAGTCTTCAACTGGTAAAGTAACATGCTAATCAAAGCTTTTTGTGGCAAAAGAATGTTGTAGCATTTGCTCCAAGTAACATGGGACTTGTCTAACATGTCTTTTATAGGAAATATGAAAGGAAAACCTAGTTGCTTGGCCCATTAATAAAACTTCATTGTCCCAAGAGCTCTTCCTTCACTTGACATAGACACTTGGAGTTCTTATTCCACTACTGCTCCAGCACAGAAGTAGAAATGTACATAATACCAAAGCTCCTTCCTTACATGCAGAGCTTTCACTAATCACCTTAGAATGATGTGGACTATTGATCTAGCAAATATTGCAATGTCAACAATAAGTGAACAGGGACTTAAAATGATTTCTGATAGAACTATTCTCAAACTGCAACATAACACACAGAATCCTTCTTTTATAAATATGTATTTATAGGAAAAACAATTGCTGGATAGACAGTATTTTTAAAAAGAGACCATTCTATGAAATCACTGTAAATAATCTTCTTTCAAAAAAGTTACTATTTTTCAAATGAAATTCAAGAGTACATTATCTTATTATTTAAAAGGATAAAATACATCTATGTTTAATAACAAATGTTACATTATATCATATAGCAGGTAACAACATTATATAAAATCTTTTATCATAGAGTATATGTAAATGTGTATGTATGCATGATGCATATGTAATGAGAAGTCTGGCAAGTATTAAATCAAAATATCTGTAGTTATTTTATCATCCAAATAGAGAGTATGTACTCATAGTATGAATGCATTTTTATAATTTTAAAAAAGGAGATTATATGTTTGAAATTAAGCAATCTAAAAATATTAAAAGCTTGCTTTTAGATAAAAACATGATAACTCAAGTTTATAAGTTATATTTGAACAGCAAACGAATTAGGAAATTTAGAAAATTTGCTTGAAGAATGTTTTTATAAAAAAGTGATAAAGATGACAATAATGACTAATATGCTAAAAGGACATCAAGCACACAAAGGGGATATATAAAAGAAATTTCAGAAACAAAATTTTATAAGACACAGTGGGAAATAA